GTAGACATGGGTTCTTCCAGAGCTTTCTTCTGGCTCCCCTTCCGTGAGTATTTGTACTTGTCTACATAGGCTTTAACCAGATTTGCCACTTTAGTAGAATTGACTTCTCCACTCTTACTATGGCAAACTTTGTCCACGGCTTTCCACACGATCTCCTTGTACTCTTCCTTGGTGATGTCTTTATTTTGGTAAAACGGCTTAATAGCCAATTTCACCTCCTGTGCCGCTTTCTCTTGAATTTGCAATTTTTTGCTTTCTGCCAATTTTACAGCAGCATTAGAGGCTTGGACATGACTTGATGACGAAGTATTACCAGAACTTGGTCCCTGAACTGATCCTGTGTTTCCTGGGGCTGCTGATGGAGCAGGCAAGACTTGTGTAGCCATGTTATTACTTACATGAGAAGCACTGGGAAGGCCCTGCACTTGTTTTCCATCTGGTTGTGAAGCCACATAGCTGACCTGCTGGGATGGTGGAGGAGGGGGTGGTGGTGGCGGTCCCTGAGGTACACTTGCAGGGGCAGCTACCTGCATGAGAGGCACTCCTGTGTGGAGATGCAGGGGCAGCTGAGGGTGCATGGTGAATGGGTTACACTGCATATTCATTAAAGGGGCACGAACACCCACTGGGTATGGGAAGATATTCATAGGCTGATGCTGTGCATTCATTGGGGGTGGAATTACGTTCATGTGTGGCTGCATCATATTTACAGGTAGCTGAGAACCATCAACTTGGTTTGTTTGGTCTTTTAAGTTAGAATCCAGTTCAGGTGTTTCCTCCTCTTGTCTCATCCACCCAGACTGTGGACCTGCAGAATTCCTCCCACGCCGAGAGTAATAGTTCTGTACATCGGCTGGCAGAGTCTTTCTTACTACCCAACTGGACGCGGATGTCCACCCCGACCTGTCTGCAGGCGTACCAAAAGAGACATCTTGCTCACTTTTCCGCTTAGATGGCTGCTGCTCCACAGACTTGAAGGAGTCACTCCCTGAGAGGGGTGTACGGCTTTACCACCTGTTCTCGTTCTGGTCACTG